AACAGCAGGGATAAGAGTTTTGTTTTGCCTTCCTGGACCTGTCCTTTGGGTTGCAGTTCTGCACAGCTGTGTGGACAGCACCTCTGTGACTCAGGAGGACTATGCTCTTCCACCCACACAGATCTGGGCTGTATTGAGTAGAGTGGCTCTATTGCCTGCATGTTTAGCTGGGATTTCCTAGCTCGGTTAGTACCTTACCCCTCTTTCTGCTTGCTCATGTAACCCCAGGACTGTCTGCTCTGTTCCTGTCCTGAAGAGGGAAGAATTAAATTGATGTTGGTTTTGAATGATGCCTTATGTTTGAGCCTACTTATGTAATGGGAGAGTGTTGTGGGGTCTCTATGCCTTGATTTATCTTATCTAGACTCAAAGCATAACTCTTTGCACTTCTGTGTTGTCATATTTCCAAGTGTTTCAGGATAAATGACCTGTCTTGGGCAGCTTTTCCATAGCCCAAAAAGGACTTCAGCTACACTGTAGATTTTTAAGAAACATTATGATATTTAACCATATTCTCTTCCTTGTCATGTTCCAGATTGATCCCTTTCTTTCCATTTGGTCAAGTTGCTATATCACCTCACTGCCCGTACTTCTGTACGTCAGAAACGTATCTGTCCCTGCGCTTTCACACCTTCTTTCTGTTTGTTTTATTGCCCTTCTACCCAAGTTGCTCTGGGATAGCAGTTCTGACTGCAGTCAGCATGTCTGTGAGCAAGGAGGCTCCAGTAAGGATAGGGAAGTAAGTAGAACAGCTCAAGCTAGACTTACCTGCACTGCAGTAGCTCACAATTGAACAGTTCAGCTGTAGTCTTCCCGCATTGGTCTGAGTGTTAAGCTGTGGGCTGGTTTCTGGCTTTCAGTCTCCTGGAAGAAAGGAGCCACACCTAAGAAGCTGACACTCATACTGGAGAAAAGACAAAAGGCAGGTAGCATGAAGAACTACACTCCCCTTTGTTTTATTAGTGGGAGAGGATAGTACTGTCGATAAGATCGAAACTAAAGCCAAGGTGTGATGAAAAAGAGGAAAACAGTGCCAGCTACTGCAGTCAGGCTGCTCATCACTTCAGTTACAACAATGTCACTGGACATGACTTGAGCATTTCAGTCACAGACCTCCTTTCTCCTGTTGCTTATTCCTGAGTTCATCATTTGTTTCCCTTCAAAGAGCACAAAGTTAGTCTGCTAATACATGCACAGTAGACACACTCTCTGACTTTCCCCCTCAGCCCCCAATTTATTTTGGCTGAACAAGAACAAGTTGCTTGGGAGCATGAGCTACACTATTTGGGCCAGCAACCTCCATGTTTTCATTAGTTTCTTGGAGCAACTAAGCCACTTTCAGCACCAAGCGTTTCCATTATTTTCAAACTTAAAAGAATTTGTTTGTAAGTCTACAAGTTTGGCACTCCCCTCACTACAACTCCATGGGAGGTTAGTTTCTAATTTTCTGACTTCCGCTTCTTGCCCTGGCAGCACAGAATGGGTCTGTTTTTTTCAAGTGCAGGCAGGGGGAAAGGAAAGGAGAAAGAGATGACTGCCACTAGAAAAATTCCAGACAAGAAGAAAAACAGGGACAAAATAACACCGCTGATCTGTGGGCATCGTTGGAGAAGACCTGTGTTCCCTTTCTATGCCCTGACATTTAACTGGGTCAGAACGACAAAGCTGCACCTGTGTTTTTACTCAAAGCACAGGAGAGCTACGAGAGAAGTCTTCATGCTCTCCGTGTGCAGCTTATGTGTCCTGTCTGCTAATGACAGATGACAAGAGTAATAACAAACCACCCTCTCAGATGCTGTGGGACTTGCTCTGCTCCAGTTCCTCAGACCCAGGTCATCCTCTGTGCAGCAGCTGAAGCTTGAAACATTTTCTACCACCAGAATTTTTGTGCTCTGCTGAGAGATTCAGACTTTTTCCTTTTGCTAACAGAGGGGGACATGCTTTTGCAGAGAAACGCATGTGTGCCGCAGTTCCCTAGAGCAGGCTGAGCACTGCCTTAGTCAGGTCCCTGTGGGAGGGCAGGTCAGTCTTACACAAGTCCTCTAGTTATCAGCGCAAGCCTTACATCCCCATCATGCCAGACACTCTCCACCTTTAATGCCTTTGTTTCCTGCCATGGCTTTTGCAGGAAACCTAAAATAAGTTTCTCCCTTCTCACCTGCAGCAAATCTGAAGTAATTCGTCAGACTTGCAGCTGTTGAGAAAGGGTAATGCTACAAGAACTGTGTAAGCCCTTTTAATTAAAGCTGAAATAAATATGAGGCTGTCACATTAGAAAGAGGAAGGTAAAACATCGAAGCATGCTGTGGTCTCCTCTCCTCTGCAGTACCTGGGAGACCAACCCTTCTTACAGTCCATTGCTGTTGCACTTGGTAACCTTAGTTATGTTCTGGGTTACAGGTATGCTGTTTGTTTTCCCATTTGTCTTCTTCCCTATGTCCAGTCTCACTCTAGCTGCTCATCAGTTCTGCTTCCGTAGCTGCTTCTGTTTATCCCTATTTATGTGTTACTGTTAATGGCATCAGTCTAAGGGATCAGCTCTCATCTTCCATGCCCCAGCAGAAAAACAATAAATCACCTTCCTCATACCTGCTGGGTAACTGCACATGACAAGGAAGTAATACCTAGCTCTAGACAACATACCAATGCCAAGTTTGCCTCCGCAAAGCCCTCGGTGAGGCTTAATGAGACAAGCTTTGAACAACTTGCTCCTTTACCACTAATCCCAATGTATCTGAGCATAAAGCAAGGTAGGATATTCATCTTCCTGATGTACTCTTGCACCTGACTATAGGCACTGAAGATGCCATCACTAGGGCTTCAAAGGCAGGCTGATGCCCTAAGCAGTGCTTCAAGGCCGATGCTGTCAACTGAAGTGGGACATATCCCAGGGGCTCTCTTCCAACTGCCTCTCTAATATTAGTCTGCTGAAGGAAGCATGGGTTAATTAGTGCCTGGAGGTGATTGTCAAGAGAAACTAAGTGCAGTCTTCCACTCAACCTGTGCTGATCAGCAGCTGTTACTCAGGCAGACCACTACGACATTCACTCTGTACCACTTGCAGCCCTGCAATATACAGGATTGTCTTCTTACTTGAACCATTTAATGGCTTCAGAGATCAGGAACTCCTTTTTTGAAAACCATCACCGGCACTGCACTGCTGGATGCAGACAGCTGCTGTTCATATCCCAGAACAGGTATACTGCCAGGTTGTGGTTCACTCCTGGTGCAGATGTAATTCCAAGCCTGAGCACCCACGCACAACAGGAAATGCAACATGCATGGTGATGCCTACATTTGGCTGCAGTCAAAGCCTCAGAGTTGACATCAGAGTCCAGCTTCTCATCTACTGCTCACCCTTGGTCTCAACCAGAACATAACATGCAGCTAATGGGTGCTCCTCCATTTCACAGGAAGAAAACTGCTTAACAACCCCCTCCATATTCTATTTTTCCCCTCCTCTCTCATGGCACGGCCTGCAAGCAAAGCAGAGGAAGCTGGGTTTGTCCCTTAGTTACCCAGTGGACTGGAATTCACTCGAGTCCTGCCATGTACAGCAGCCTGGCTTCCTCTTTAACAGATTAGCTATGTACAGAAAGCTGCCTACTTATGTGGTTTAACCTAATTTCCACATCACTGGCTTCCTTTTTCAGCTCACTGGAGTTGAAACAACAGAGGCCCTGCTTCATATTTCTCTCCCAGTACAGCGTTACAAGAAGGTGGAAAAGAGCAATTCCCTGATCCATAGCAGAAAATTAAAATGGCATCATAAACATCCCTCACAACTCTCATCAGGCTGTGTGCTGCAGAGCTGAGCAAACCCACAGCATTTCCCCACCCCCTTCACGCTTTCCAGCTACCTCCTTGCACCGGGCAGGGGATGCGACATGGGGCAGGTCTGCTCCCTTACCATGAGGCTGAGGCACGCTGCTGCCGCCTGAGGACACGTCCATCCCCAACCCCCTCCTTCCATGCTGTACCCCAGCATACATCATTCCCTGCTGCAGGAAGAAAACCACTGGAAGGATGATAGATGCCCTCATTTCTTCTCCTTCTTCTGTGCACCCAGCTGTGGCCCAGAACCCTTCACATGCTGCCCTACTTCTGTGAGAGGAAGTCACGTTCAATTAATCCGCCCAGAGCTCCTTACAACGCCAGCGATACCACCTCTGCTGTGCGCAGGCTTTCACACCTTCATGCCATGATACAACCAGCTGCGGAAGGCAGCATTTCACCCCTTTTCCCATCGTTATTTCTGTCAGCTCAGCCCCAGGTTTTGACCCTGGGCCATCCACCCCACACGAGCTCGTTCCAGCAGTAGCCAACAGAACTCCAACCCCGCCTTGTACCAAGGGACAGCAGTGAGCCTCCAGCCCTATCTTCCACCACACCCTCCATACGTACGACGTGCTGCGATCCCACTCAGAAAACCCCTCGGCCCCGACCCGCCTTGCCCTAGAGCAGCAGACACGGCTCACACTGACCTGCAGACCGCTGTGCCACACGTGCCGGGACCAAGACTGAGGATCAGTGGGTTTCAGCAGATAAAGCCAACGGGCGGCTGCTGCCCAGCCCGGGGCACGCCATGGCCCAGTGGCTTCGGCCCATTCTCGGGGACTTCGCCGCACCCCCTCTTCTCGGCACCAGAGGACGGCAGACGCCCGTCGCGTGCCTCGAGTGGCGGCGGGGCACAAAATGGCGGCGCGGCCGGCGGGGCGGGACGGGGCCGCCGTGCGTGGGGCGGGAGGAGGGAGGGGGCGGGGCGGCCCCGCAGGTGCGGGCGGGGCGGGAGCCGCCGGCCCCGGCTGAAGCGGTGGGTCGGTGCGGCGCGGCGCGTTCCCTCTCCGGCACCGCTCCGGATCAGCCCACGCCGATGGCTCCCTCGAGCCCCGCCGCCCGCCGTGGGGAGCGGGGCGGCCCGGCGGCCGCCGGTAAGGCTGCGCGGTGACGCCCCCGGGGCCGCGGTGGGCCGGGCCGGCAGCGCCCGGTGGCGGCGGCGTTGGCGCTGGCGCTCGCCCCGGCCCGCAGCGCGCAGCGCGGCTCCCTCTCGGCGCCGCGGGCTAGGCGGGCTGCGGCTCCCCGAGCGGGCGGAAGATGCTGCCGGGGTCCATCCAGATCTCCGGGGAGACGCTGTCGGGCGCGGAGATCCGGGACATCTGCGAGAGCCTGCGGGAGAACTCGGTGCGGCTGCTGTCGCTGCGCGGCTGCCAGCTCTCGGAGCGCGACTTCGGGCACGTCTGCCGGGGGGTGGCCGAGTCCCGCTCCCTGGCGCAGCTCAACCTCAACCTGGGCATCGTCTCCAACATCAACCGCGTCAAGCAGCTGGCCGAGGCCCTGAAGACCAACCGCTCCGTGCAGTCCCTCTTGTGAGTAGCGGGGAAGCGGCGGGTGCCCGGCAGGGTCTGCCCAGCCCGGTGGGGACGGAGGCTCCCAGGCGGCCCCGGCGCGAGGAGAAGCGTCCTTGACGCTGCAGACACCAATCCGTTGCCCTTCGCCGGGCCTGGGGACCTAACTCTGCTCCCATCTGGTTGGCGTGGTTTCGTTTGTCTCCCCAAACCTGGGTGGCCCCGGTGCTGGGAAGGACCTCCCTGAGCCCTGCCGGTGTCCTCCGCTACCCTTCATCCCTGCTGGAAGAGGAGTGCCTCTGCAGCTGCCGGCCGAGCCCTTCTGCAGGGCCTTCCTAGCACGTTTTCCCCATCTGACATTAGGATCATCCTCCTCTACTTCTCCCTCCCGGTGGGGTTAGCTAGCCCCTGGGCTTCCTCCGTGGTGATTTGCCTTTTACCTCTGCAGTCTCCATGGGAGTCCCCTGACGGATGCAGGCTTGGCTCTCCTCAACCCTGCACTCTCCATCCATCCCTCGCTGGTGGCTCTGGATCTGGGAGACTGCATGCTGGGTGATGAAGGCATCAACCTCATCTGTGGACTCCTGCCGCCTGACGGGGCTAAGTCTGGTAAGCACAAGGGCTGTGGGCTGCATGGAAGCCGGTGGAGCTTTACATGGAGCAGATGGACACAGCCAAAATCCTCAGCCCTGGGAGAGGCAGGCTCTGTAGCTTGGGCTGAGGGACTTATTTTCCCAACTCACGTAAAGCAGAAAAACCAAGTGATAGAGGAGCAGTTCCCATAGGCTTTCTGCTATCATTTGTCCTGCAGGCAGCTTGTCGCTCAGGGACCAACAGGTTGCTTCTGGTTCATGACAGGAGTGCTTGATACTGGAGGAGGGAACAACTTGGGTTTTTCATTTCTTATTTTGCACTAGCCTGTTGATAATCACCACAGATAAATACATGGTGTGCTCCTAACCCCCCTCTTGGCTTTACTGCCGCACCCAGAAATTATCCTTGCATGTGGGTGCACACATGGAGTGTGTAGATGGTCAGAGCCTCAGTGCTAAAGCTCAGATCTTTACAGAGGATGATCTTTACAGCTCTGAGGCCCCACTAAAAGGGGGAACTATCATGTACCGGGTAATACCATCCCTCTCCCTGGCATTCAGAGTGATTTCGACCTCTTCTACCCAAGCTTTTGCCTGGCCATGTTCACAGTGCCACTGATTCTGTTATCTCAGTTTGTCATCACTCCTGGGTGTAGGCTGTCCCTGTGATCCTTGCTGATCTGTCACTTCATGCCACCTCCTCCAAACCCTTTAGTCTGTTGGAGTACAGGAGACACATCTCCTAGTTAGTTGAACTCGTTCCCTTCTGACTGCTCTGGTAACCCTCAGGCTCTGGTTTGGCTTCTCTCTCCTCTCCAGGCCTCAAGGAGCTGACACTGAGTGCCAACCCCGGTGTCACAAGCAAAGGCTGGGGCCGCCTGGCCATTGCTGTGGCTCACAGCTCCCAGCTCCGAGTGCTGAACTTGGACTACAACCCCCTGGGTAAGCTGGGAACCAAGGGATACCATGCTCCCACCCGTCTGTATCTGTGCTATTTGCTTTGGTGGGTGGCTGGAAACCCAGCTGTTGATGGGCAGCAGAGTGTCACCAGTAGGAGAGGACAGCTTGTTGCACTGTCTTGCCTGGCCCCCAGCAGTGAGCTCTCCCTGCCGGGTGCCCACAGTAATGAGGATGTGGCCATGAGATCTGCTGAAGGAGCAGAAAGGAGCTAGTGGCTTGCCTGCATCTGTCATTGTGTTTAACCCTTCACTTCTTCCCTGTACCTGAAGCCCCAGGGCCCAACATCAGCGTGGCAGAGGCCCTACAGCCCCCTGCTCCTCCCTTCTCTTTTCTGTGGAGCAGGGGGAGGAGGAGAGCCTGGCATGGGTTGCCATAGAAACCAACTCTCTCCAGTTCTACTGTGAGGTGGTGAGGAGGAGACCAGGCCATGCCTCCCTAACCCAGGCATGGGCTGGGCACTTCCCACCTCACCAGACCCTGTCAGACCAGGTCACCCTCCAGAGCAGCAAAGACCCCAGGGTCTGACCTTGTGTCAGCCTGGTTTTCCTCAGGAGAGGATGTGTCAGTCCTATGTCCCCAGGAAATGCCAAGAGAACACCCTGGGGTCTCTTTCCTTCACTGGTATTGATCTCTAATGTTCCCAGTTCTGCTGCACCCAATCCAGAAGTCTCCCCCTCTTTCCACTGTGACAGCCCATTAGCTGGCACAGGCCTCAGCCACGCTCTAACTTTCCCTTAGGCTATTTCAGGTCCTTATTGTGCATCTGAGATCCTTTTCAGGGGAGGTGAAAGGTCCTCACACCTTTCAGTAGGAAGGAGATGTGGGCAGATGCAGTTCCTTGGTGAATAAAATAAGTTTTCCTCAGTTAACAACTTTCTTTTTTCCTGAGGTAGCCAAGATTTGGAAGTTGTCCAATGGCAGAAATTTGCAGAGGGTGTTTCCATGACAGCCCCAACCTCACAAGAGCAGGGGTTGTATGTGAGTGAAGGCAGGCACTGCTCACAGCCCTGGTTTGCTTCTCCTATAGGTGACCAAGTAGCAGGGATGCTTGCTGTTGCTGTGGCCTCCAGTCGAACCCTTGAAGTTTTGGATTTGGAGGGAACAGGACTCACCAACCAATCAGCCCAGGTAAGGAAAACTTACTCTCACATCATCGTTGCAGTCTTAAGGACATAGGTCCTGACCATCTATATAGAGGCAGAACACCTTCCTTCCTTTCTACCTTGAAATGTTGCTGCTGCTTTCCCCTATCCTGTTGCGTTCAGCCACAGGAGGAGCTCAGAAGCCACAGGAGGAGCTCAGAAGCCACAGCTCTAGTCCTAGAGCTCTTTTGCCTCCTTCAAGTCAGCAGGGAAAAGTCACACAGCTCTATTTGGTGAATTTGTAGTGGAGGATCAGAGTTAAAGCACTGTGTACAGATGGGGGCAAGGCATGGTAGCAGGCTTTCCCCTGAGAGATAGGACTTGGCTGGGTATGTGGGAGCAACAGAGTATAGAGCAGTCCCCTTCTCTATATCTAGGCTCAGCTCTTCCCACAAGAAGATGGGAAGTCCTCAGGCTCTTAGAAAGTCTGGCAAAGGGAGGTCAAAGCCAAGGGATGGTGGAGGTAAAAAGAGGAGGGCTGGAGTTTGCAGGGAGATGGTGCTGAAACTCTTGCTGTTGAACCTAGCTGCTGCTTATGCTTGTTGTCAGCCTGCTTATTTCTCTCTGCTCAGACCTTGCTAGACATGGTAGAGAATTACCCCACAGCCCTACGGACACTCATCCTGTCAGAGAACAACATCAGTCCGGAGCTGCAGCAGCAGATCTCTGACCTGCTCTCAGAGGGCGAGGAAGAAGAGGAAACAGAAGCTCGTGAAGTCACAGCCAGGGAGAAGAACCCCTGGATCTGCCAGAACAGTAAGAGCTCTAAGGCCTGGCATGGTGGGGTTGGCAGAAAGGAGTAGGGGTGTCTGGGGTGTTTCCTAGTGCCACTTACCTCTCAGTGTGGGGTTGGTTAGTGGTATCTGTCCCTTACCCCTGCGAGCTGGAATCCAGACAGCCTCCAGCTATGACCTTCATTTTTAATAGTGTTGGGCTGAGCCATGCTTGGAAAAGGAACTTCCAAGGACAATGCGGCTGCTGCAGAGAGTAGGAACAGTATCTCAGAGGCTTTTTTCCTGATGCTGCAGGAATAAAATCTTTGTGCAAAGTCTTAAAACAAGGGCAGGAACATTGAAATCTCAGGGGTCTTTGCCAGATATCCTATCCAAAACTCATGTCATTCCTCACTGCTTCCAGAACTGGCACAGGATCCTGTCCCTGTGGCCTAAGCTTGTGAGAGTTTAGCCAGGTACCACAGCCTGTCTGTGCAGTGGCTTGTAATATAGGTATATAGAGCAAATACTAATAGGCTGTTGTGTGTGTACACAATATTGTATGTTGTCATATCTACATTATGATCCTGTTGGTTTGTTAGTTGTTTTTTTTTCTTTTTTTCCCTCCTACCTCAAATTTTAATTAACCTTCCTTCCTCCTCCCCATTCTACTAGCAGATTAGCAGACAAGCACAATCACTCTCAGGACATCTGTTTCTTCAGCTGTTAGAGCCATAAATCTCCTTTGCTGGCAGCTCTGACCACTTTTGGGACCCAGTTTTTAGTAACAGATTCCCCACAGCAATTTTGAATGTGTAGGATCTGGACCCAAAGCATGTGGGCACTAAACACCTCCCCCTACGCAACCAGGAAAAACAATTTTTCTTGCTGTTTGTGAAGTATTTTGGACGAGAAAATGGTACTCTGGTTTCTGACTTGGTGTGCATGCCCATCCTTTTGCATCAGTGTCACTTGGCCTGGGAAGAGTTGCTGAACTCCTGGCTGGGGCTCTCTCTGCAAGGCCAGAGAGCTGTCCTCACCTTCCTGGAGCCAGGCTGAGGAGAGCTGCACAAACCCTCTGTTCATGCAACACAGCAAGTCAGAATTTCCAGACCTCTGCTGCCACAAAATGTCTGCTTGCCTGCTGCCTTCCTGGGAAGGCTGTGCCACCACCCTAGGTGGGTTCAGTCAGTGGGCTGCCTGTCAGCTCATCCCTGCTGAACGCTGGCTTTAGAGCTGAAAAGATTCTATTCATCACATGCAGGTTTAAAGGGGAAGAGCTGACTAAACACACAGCTGGGTCAGCAGGACCAGTAACTGCATGTATATGTTAGGAAGGTGCAGGGGGGAGAGATGGATGTTCCTGACAGCCAAGTACCCCATGCTGCTGGAACACAACAAATACAGGTGCTAGCTCTGGTCTCTTGCAGCAGTCTTTACCTTCCTAACTTCTCTCTGCCGAGGCATCTCATAATAGTGACCCCCACCCCACCAACCCCCGCCCCATTAGCTGCGTGACCTGGGCAGCTCCTACTTAATCCTCAAATCCTCTCAGCACGTTGCTTCCATTCTGCAGGGCTGCAGTTTTTCATCCTCACCTCTGGATCTGGAGAGCAGTTCCATGTCCTCCCGCAGCCCCAAAAACTCACTGTTTTCTCCCTCTCACCGCAGATCCCAGCTCCCAGATGGTCTTGATGACGTCAGGCCTCGGTGACAGCCTCTTAGCAGAAACAGAGATGTAGCTGGGCTACTCTGCCTGCTTCTGCCACGCATGGCACACCGGGGGGCACGCACCCACCAGCTCTTTGCCTCCGGTGAGCTGCCCCTGGGGTCTCCTCACGCATTTCACGTCCTGTCGACGCTCCCTTGACTCTCTGAGTACCGGAGCCAGGTCGGAGTGAACCTCTACACATCTGTGTCGTCACACGCCCCGTCGGCTGCTTGTGATTGTCTGGTTGCTGCATGTGTTACTCACACTGCCCTGCCTCTCCCCATGCCTGGCTGCACCCTGCAGGACGCAGGCTGTATTTATTCAGATGTGTATAAGAGATGGTCTTTCTATTGCTTGTTCTGCTGTCACAATCAGAGTTTTATAAAGGTCACAGATGTGGCACTACTCACAGCTGCCTTATTCCTTCTGCTCCTGCTACATCAAGGTAATTACGCTGCCAGAAATAGTGCTAAAAATGGGCATTTCGCTTCTCACAGGTGCAGGAGGAGGCATAGCACGAACGGCAGGTGGCAGCACCGCCCAGGGCCGGGCTCCTCGCTCCCTGCGTAGCCCGAGCTCCCTGCTGCCCCAAAGAGTACCAGCGTGCTGCAGGTGCTACTCACGGCTCGCAGGATAGGGACAAGGGACAGAGAGGCACACTGCCACCCAGGGGTGAGTTTCTGCTGAAGCTGGGTGCCAGCTTTAGGCTATCAGGCATGGGCTTCTGCAGTAGAGTATGAGATGCTGGCAGACTCCTTCATGAGTCAGACAAGCCCAGTCAACCCCTCGTGGAATGCACAAGTTCCTCCTGAAGCACAAGATCCTGGATCCCAGCTGCAAGAGGGTGGTTGTGCAAGGTGAAGGATACCAGCTTGCCCCCTCCCTTTGTTGCACAGGGAGCAGAGCTCCCTTGGAGGAGATGCCTGCCTGGTCTTGCAGAGAGGTCCAGCATAGTCCTGTTTGCTCTCCTCTAGGTCTTTGCTTCTGTTGGAAGTGAGGGCTGGAGCCTGTCTATGGGGTACAAGCTGCGATAAAGGCTTCAACTAGTGCTGGTATGACAGCTTGCAGCTATGTGTCCCCTGCACTTGCTGAAGTGCAGTAAGGAAGAAGATTGTGTTTCATGACTGGCATTAGGTTAGAAGATTTAATTGTGGCAGCAGCTGCTGCTCAAGGGAACACAGAATAAAATCATTAATTATGGAGTCAAGGAAACAAGATGCTTCCTCTGTCACTCCATCCACCTACACCAGAAGGTGCCCAGGGTCTCCTCCTGTTGCCATGAAGATGGAGCTTGGGAAAGAGAGTACTACAGACACCTGTGTAACATGTGAGATGGAGATTTCATTAGAGCCTCCTGCAGTGCAGTTGCTCATGAAAACAAAACTTGTGGAAGTGTTGGTATCAGTAACCCACAGAAACTCTCACATAAAGAAGACTTCCTGTTTGAGTATCTTCTGTCAACACCAAACCACTTTCCCCACACAAAGAAAACAAAACCCAATAATATTCATACACTAGAATTATAAAATTCCTCCTGGATAACCTATATCTTGGTTTCTGAAATGGTGAACTGGCTCTTATTTGACTCCACAAGCTGGGGTTTCAAGAAAAACGGTACGTATGAGAAGAATTTGTTATACCGCATCCCAGATGAGCATGTGAAGTTCTCTGGGAAGATGTAAACCAGGCAAATACACAGCAAAATACTTGAAATGGGGCAGGCAGCTTTTCCTGGGTAACACTGGGCCTTCTTATAGCACCAGAATTCATCGTAGAGAGGTTTTGGCAGACCATGTCTCACTTTCATAGCCTTCAAAACAACGTGAAAAATTACCTACATTATTTTTCAATGTTTCCCAAAGTTGCCTGGTTCAATAATCTGCTTTTTAATTAAAAAAAAAAAAAAAAAAAAAAAAAAAAACACCAAAAACATTGTTAGCTTTATAGAGTCAAAAGTGACATGAAGACAGAGGGATCCTGGCCAAGAGGCTCATTCCGAACATTGAGCTGTTCATATTCACTCAGATCTAAAGAATAGTTTCCAGAGCATCTGCTCTGATGCAATTATAGAAGTAAAACACTCATCTCCCATACCCCCCCCTTGCCTGGGACTGTACCTCTTCTCTGATGCAGACAATTTGATCTGCACAGACATCTTGAAACAGACTGAGGCAGGCAGAGAGGATGACCTGTGAATTCACAACCACTGGAAAACATACAAACTGTGATTCTGTCCTGGAGGTGTTCAAGGCCAGATTGGATGGAGCCCTGGGCAGTCTGGTCTAGCATTAGGTGGAATGGTTGGTGGCCCTGTGTGTGGCAGGGGGGTTGGAGATTCATGATCCTTGAGGTCCCTTCCAACCCTGGCAATTCTGTGATTCTGTGATACAGGAGGCACATGCAGCTTAGCAAGATTGGTTCTGCTACCTCACATGCTATAGCTGGGCCTGGCCCAGGTCCTTACTCGGGTGAGAGTGCTACAGCCATCACCTCCTACTTTTAAAATAGTTTATTTCTGGTCTTAAAATATACATCAGTTTGAAAATTTCAGAAAAAAAACAAAACAAAACAAAACAAAACAACAACAACAAAACACATTAGTTACAGATTAACAGTCTGGAGTTGGGACACTGAAAGTTGGGTCAGCTCAAGGCCCCGGAGCCAACACTGCTGGAGGAGAGCAGAGGGCAGGCACTGTGCTGGCTGGGAGGGGGTTCTGCTCCTCCTTCAGCTGCTCGCTCCCCCTCACTGCCTGCCAGTGGCCTAATGCTATGAAACAAATGCATGTGAAGGCTGTGGGCACTCCATTCCCACCCTTCGTTCCTCCGTTGTGCTTTTAGCTTACCGAGACCAAAAGCACAGGGGAGCCCAGCTCTGCCCAGCACCATCAGTTTCAGCAAGAGAATGGATTTTGTCCCCTGACCACCACACCAGGAGAGATGAGCCTTGAAGGGCAGCGCCCCCCAGCTGCAATGAGGGGGATGAGCTAGCCCACATCAGCCAGCCTTTTCTGACAGGCTGTTCCGGACATGCTACAGGTGTTCAGAGAGCCCCAGGAGTCCATTCCACAAGCACCCAACCCCAGGTGATGTCCATGAGCCACGGGATGGTGGCTGCTGCAGGTGAAAGCCCTCAGTACTGCTGCAGAAGAGCAGGAGAAATTCAGCAGCATAGTGGCAGGGGAGAGCAAATGCAAGGATCCCATCACAACTTTCAGGATAAGAAATAATGCCCTGCAAGCTAAAAGGAAGCTTCTGCTCTCAGCACCAGCCTGTTTGCACAGGAATTGAATGAAATACTGTAGTAAAATACTGAGTCCCACCTCCACCTTGGAAGTCAGCATTGAGCTCCACAGCTGTTTGAGGTGAGACAAAAGGTAAGTACATAGGCAGCAGCTCCAATTAACTAGGGCACACCAAGTCCCACAGAGGCCTGCAACTCCCTTTCACAGGCCCTGGAGCCTCAAGGCTGGAGCTGGGGCCCTGGCTGCCTCCAGCTGCAAGTGCAACCCTCTGGTGAGATAGGGGTCTGGGAGGGGAGCAGGACCCTGGGGCAGCTGTCGGCTGCATCTCTTGCTGTCAGCTCCATCTCTTGCTGTCAGCTCCCTCCTGGGCAGTGGGCTGCTCTCCTCCAACACAGCCAGCCAGCAAAGAACTAATGGAGTAGGGCAGGAAGACAACACAAATGCAACTCAAAAAAAAGACAGCAGGCTAAGGACAGCCAGCTGGTGTGGGGACAGCACAGCCCAAGAAGCAGGCCAGCCCTTTGCCTCACACCCCTGGGCTAGGGATGAAACATGGACGAGGGCACAGGACAAGATTAAAAATTGGACACCAGGCTTTGTTAGCCTTCAAAAAAATACCTACATCTACAGACCTCTCCCTTTCCCTCCCCCCAATAAGACACTGAGCACACAAGACCATGAAGAAGAATCACGTAATACACACTACACTAGGAAAAACACACAGAGAGGCCCTACTCAGGAGTAGAAGCACCAGAGCCAGCCTGGAGCCCCCAAAGGGGGGCACAAAGAGACTCTGGCAGACTGGTGCTACTGAGGCGTGAGGTAGTGCAGCCAGAGGGAGCAACTCCCTCACATCCCCACAGGCCACGGTACACAAAGCCCTGCCCAGAAAATCCTAGTAGCATCCTTCACGCTTCACTCCCCCGGGGGCAAGATCTTGTTCCCAAATTTGGAGGGATTTCTGCAGGCTGAAGGCCAGGATCAGAGGGAAGCGCAGCTCAGGGCTGAGCCACTCCTAACACACCCTTAACTCAGGCAACAGACTGGCTGCCAACCACTGTGTCTGTTTATGCAGGGAGGGGGAAAACAAAAACAAAAGAAAAACAAAAAACAAAAAACCAATACACCCCAAAACCAAAGGCTTGGAAAGAAGAAAGAAGCCCACCCAAGAGCAAGGAGTCAGCACCATTCAAACAAAACAACAGCACAGAGAGCGGGGGAAGAGGTGTGAGGGAGGAGACGCACAAACAAACCACATGGCCCAGAGGGCTATGTCCCTGCCTGGGAAGGGACTGACCCCCCCTATCCCCCCAAGGCCTCTCAGCTGAATGTCACAGCACAGCCCAGGCCTGCATCTCGATTCAGTGCAGGCCAGGTGCTGAGCTGAGCAATAGGGAGCTACAGGGGCAAATTCTGAAGAACACAACCCAGGGGACTAGGGAAAAAACCCGACAGGGAAACTAAGAAACCAGCATCCTCAGCATACACCCCAGGGCCCAGATCCATCCCCTGGGAGAGTCCTCATGGCCCCTTGGGGCTCCCAGGGAATCAGACACCACCATGCAGGCACCCTGCCCTGTTGGCACAAGTTAAAAGGGAGCAGAGCAGCTGCAGGCACCAGTATGGGAGCAGCCAGGGCCTCAGGTACCTGAGTGGGAAGGGGAAAGGGAGGATGGGAGCGTAGAGAGGAGAGGCACCAGGTTGTGGGTACCAAGAACAAGGTCTGGTACAGGCACCAGTGTGAGGCTGTGAAGAGAGCTGTGAGTGTGCCAGGGCAGTGGGTGTGCTTCTGCACAACGTGTGCTAGTACTGCAGGTCTGAGGTGCCAGGGAATGGGAACCCCAGCTCTTCCAGGTAGCAAGAGAATAAATATAACATTTAAGAGCAGAGCCCAGAGCTCCTCCTAGGGTGGAGGGGACTGAGAGAGGTTTCTCCCTCAGAAGACAGGTGGAGGCATCCCACAGCTCCACAGCAAGTGGCTGCTGCTTCCCCTGCCTCAGCTGAGAAGGTTGCCTTGCTCCTGGGCCTGCGTCAGACTGTCCTTGCGATGCAGATGGTGGACCCCCATTCTCTTGGGGCTGCGGTGTGGCCGACTGAAGGGAGGCTTGACCCTGCCTTCCCCACTTTCCTCTTGAGCTCCTCCTTGGTTACTCTCCTTGCTTCCCTGGAGCAACAATTCTCTCTCATCAGCTGGGCTCTCAGGCAAGCCAAGGTCTACATAATCCTTGTGCTTTTCTGGGGGTGGACTTCCAGGTTCAGCAGTGCCTCCACCACTTCCCTGCAACAGCTTCTGAGCTTCATCCTGGGAGAAATCTGTACCATAGTCAGAGGAGAAATGGCTCCTGCGGGCTCTGGATTCAGTGCTGTCTGTGTCCACGCTTGAGTCCCGGCTCACGGTCCAGCTGCAGCTCTGAGCAGACTCCTCGCCATCTGAGTAGGCAGAGGCTGCCCTATCCAGCTCCTGCATGGAACGGCTGAACCTTTTCTGGAGCTCAGGGGCTGTGTCGCGGCTGAAGGCCGTACGGTTCATCAGCACCTGCTCTGAGGTGGGGGGTGCCTTGTCAACAAACATACGCTGCCAGTTAGCCAGCAGGTCCTCCTCGGAGCTGGCAGAGCTAGCGAAGGCGCTCGGGATCTGGGGAGGGCTGCTGAAGGGGCTGCTCTGGGAAGAGCCATGAGCCCTGGCTGCTTTGGGGGACTGCTGACAGGAACAGCTGGAGGCTGAGCGGCGTCCTTCTGAAGCAGGGCTGTTGGGAAGCGTTCGGTGCCTGTCGCAGCTCTCATCTTCACTCTGTACCAGGCTGAGGGAGATGGCCTGGCGTGTAGCATATGTACAGTTGGGCAGGGGACTGTTCTTTGGGATCCTTACCTTGTCCTCGGAGAACTCAATTACTTTCCGCCCAGGGTACATAGGATGGGGAGGTGAAGGTGTAGGGTATGGGCTTAGCTTCTCAAAGGCTGGCACATCCTCTGGCACGCTATCCACACTACCCTGTGGCTTGCAGCCACCGTTCTGCTGCTTCCCAACTTCCCCTCCCTCCTTCTTCATCTGCCCTGAACTGCTGCAGGCATCAGGAGGGGCTCCACTCATGTCCACATGCACAAAGACATCCTCAGCCACAGGACAGGTGCCACTGCTAGACTTGGCTGAATTCAGCACCAGAGATTCTGGCTTCTCCAAAACCCTGGCAATGACTGAGGTGGGCACAACATCAGATGGTGCCAAGGTGTGGGTTGCCTCTTGACCAGGGCCTGCAGACTCCTGAGTGCTGTGCAGATGCTTATTGACCATATCCTGCAGCTCATAGGGAAGCTAGGGAGAAGGAACAGAACATTAGAAGGATACTGACACATAAGTCACTAAGTTTCAAAAAATTTGCCTTTTCCAGCCAACCTTCATCCTTAATCTTTATTTCAATACTAACGTTTACCTACCTTGCCTTGGGGTAGGCATCTCTTTCCAAAAGAGAACCTGCCATATATGACAGACTAACAAGGCTCTGTAACTGTCATACCACTCATGTTCCTAGGCCACGGTTCACAGGCCCATCTTGGAAAAAAAAAAAACAAAAAAGAAACAAAAAAAAAAAAAAAAAAAAAAAAAAAAAAAAAAAGAAATGATGTCACAGGCCATGCCTGTGAGCACAGAGACAAGGCCCAGCCAGTGCATGCTAGGGAGAGGTCTATTGATCTGTGGAAAATCAGCTGGTGGTTGCACTGAAGTGACTGCACATCCCCCAGCGCTCACATCTGCAGTGCTCCCCAAATGCAGTAATTACAGCCTTGCTGCCTTGGCAGCTTGCCCACAGATCAGAATCGATGCCTTCCCCTGCTCCCATTGACTCCTCTCACCTCATCCCATTTTATCAACTCACTCCGTTTCAGAGAGGCAAACACAGGGCTTATTTATTACCACAGCCTCAGGACCAAGATCCAGCAGAGTTAAGCACTGCTCCTTGTCCTGCAGATGGGTGCTACTGCTCTCCCCACTGCCCTGTCAAATGCACGAGCACGGAGAACAAAGCTCCACAAGCCACTCCATGGCACAGCAACGTCCGTCCTGTCACAGCCAGAAGGAAACTCCATCCAAAGCTGGGGGCACAGTGCATGCGAACAGCTGGCTGAGAAGCAGACTGCTTGCACAGTGGCTCAGTACCGCCCTCCTCCAGTGGCAGCCATGTAGGACACAGCACTCTGGGGGGCAGAATTCAAAGCCCTGGGGAGGGGAGACAGCTGGGAGAGGGGTCAAGGTTACCCCAGTAGTAACTGATACACTGACCTCAAGAGTGCTAATTTGAGACACAATGGGGGAGGGGACATGTTGGTCACCTGCTAAGTTACTAAAGATGAGCACATGGTTTTGCAGAAAGGAACATAAGAAGGTCTGAAGGCTAAAGGCACAGAAAGATAGAGAGCTGGGTTAAACACCTGAACAATATTCCCAATCAAATGAGTGATGCTACCTACGTGAAAGGTCTAACCTCCACCTTTACTTACCCCAAGGGCAGGATGAGCTCTCTCAAGCAGAAGTATATGTTAGTACCAACGTTTCCCATTCAAGAAACCCAAAAGTCATTCTGAATGTTGCCACCCAAACTTTTCATCAGAGCAAGAAGTGAAGCAGGGACAGCCAACTGCTGCTTGACTCTGTCACACGGCCCTTGCACATGGCCAGGTAAGAAAGGAAAGAGGACAGAGCAGGCTACGAGAGAGGTCTGTCCTTTAGCCAGCTCCCATCAGGCACCCAGCAGGCTATCAAATTCAAGGTTATTGTGCTTTTTATAACAGCTCTTGGCTGCGCTGTGAAATAGAGCAGGTGTGAAAGAGGAGCTGGCAGAGGCTCTGCACTGCCTTCTTGGTGGGAGTAGGAACAGGAACCCCCCATACTCTGCCTGAGGCTGAAGGACGAGAGGCCAAAAGAGAAAAGCTGCAGAGAAAGCTGAAAAAAGAAAGACAGGTGGAAACCACAAGCCCTTCTTCCCCACCTCAGTGGGACTGCTACTCACATCAGCAAATTTGTGGTTCCTGAAGTGGGACTTGTTACACTTGAGCAGCTGTACCGCAAGGTTACAGTCCTGTCGATAGCGTTCCTGACAAAAAAAAAAAAAGGGCACAGGTGTGCAACAGTGTCAGACTGATCTCTTACCTGAAATGACACCACCTTACCAGCTTCAAAGAGAAGGTGGAATATCATGAACTTCTCCTGAGGGCGCCTGCCTTTTCCTCTCCTCCACACCTCGTGTACTTCTTACAACTCAGCCATGTCCCTTTCAACTCTTGTTCCAGGCCTCCATATACCAAACTCCATATACCAAACTCCTATCCTTTTGTGAAACTGATCTCCAAAAGTCCCACCAGATTTTTGCTAACCCATTTCGGAGCTCTCAAACATGCCTGCAGGCACTGCTCAATGCCAGGCATCTTGCAGACAGACTGGAATGAATTGAGAGCAGTTAATAGAAACATGCACCAAATCCAGGAACTTCTACGTTAATTGTGTGGAAAAGGCAATAGTTCCCTCCCATTTCTAAGCTAAATAACCACTTGGTTACTACAGCCTGGGCACAGGTCAAACCTTAAGATTAAATGCTAGAAAAATAAACACATCAAACTTGAAGATCAGCTCTTTCTTGCTCAACTCCTCAAGCCCTTTTCTTTTTGCTTGTTCCCACATTTTCATACACATTTTAGTTATTCATGTTCTTCTTTACACTAATGGCTTTGAACCAGAAAAAAAAGCCCGCACCTCAACACAGTTCCACAACCATTTGCCGACTCGCACTTACATTAAGTTCCTCCAGCTTATTGATAGTTGTTTTGGCATCAAGCAATTTATTAGTGAGCTCCACAATCTCCCAGTCCAACGTCTTGCGGTCCATCTCTGCCTTTTTAATCTGAGATGCAAGAATACCAGGTGTAAATTTCCACAGCACAGAAGAAACCGGTTTTACCACCCACCTCACCCCAAGCATAGCACAATGACATGCTCAGCTGAGACACAACTTCTATACAGACAAAGGGCTCTTCACCTCGGGAGGGATTCCAAAGGCAGTTGGAGATAGCCACTCTGCTAGGTACAGAGACAACTAGTGAGTTTGAACCTCCTTAATGCAGTCCCTCTTCTTGCAGCATGTTTCTTCTCTGTCATGGCTCACAGGGTGCCCGATGGCAAGCTACTGGTTTTGAATAGTTGTCTTGCCACCAGCAGTAACCACCTCTGAGCTCATGATAATCAGCCCTCTGCTCAGGATCAACAGAACAAGAATACTGCCGATAAAGATCAGCAGTTAATGCTGAATGGACAGTTCTTTTTGGCAGGGAAAGGGCACCATCTTCAAAGAGTTCAGTTCTTGCTCTACTAAGAAAAAGGACCTGCACAGCTTCATCTGGAGCTTCCCTAACACCCTCCCCTAAAGCAGATGATCTTGTCTCTTTAGACTCCCTAACAGTTCAGGTGCAGGGCAGAAACTCAGATGTAACAACTGAGAGGAGCAATAGCTTAGAACAACCATGCCATCCCCTTTGTCAAAAAGTTCCTCCAACACTGATCTAGCCTGCTCAAAGGCTGTGACCACCAAGGCCCAATGATGAGTCACAGGTGAAGTACAGTGACACAAGGGGGCTGAGGAGCAGAATCCTTCCCAAATATACAGTCTGTTTAGGAACCAACACAATTTATATTAACCCAAGAAATTCAAGGGCTAGAGCATTAAAAAAAAAACAACCAAAAACCACCCACCCTCATCTTGGGCTACATTTCAGCTGTTCAACTTGCCTGCTCACAACCCAGAAGGGGAAGGAAAGGGAGCAAACAAGGTTCACAGCCATCCACATCTTGTGCAGTGCCACAACTTGTGGGCACCACTTCCCAGCACGCCATGCTCCACCTGGCCCAGAGCCAAATGCTCTTAAGATGGAGCACTGCAAGCTAGGACTTGCTGCATCTGTGGGCAGCTGCTGGACACCAGGTGAGCCCTTGGGTGGATGAGGGCTGGGGCCCCTCCATCTGGGATGGTGTATATGTGGGACTGACAATGAAACCAACAGGCTGAGACACGTGAAGAGGAAAAAGAAAAAACACACAAACGAAAAGACGCAACTGCAAAAATCCAGCTTTGGCTGAGAGAGGCCTGAGAGGTGAGTGCGCCCAGCGTGTGCCAGCAGCAGCGTGAGGAGGAGAAAGAGAGAGAGAGAAAGAGAGAGGGAGGGAGAGAAAATAAACAGCCATGAGTGTTATGAATGCACACAACAGACACACACGCACACTGGCTCTGCCCCCATCCTCCCAGGATGACTACCCCAAGACTGGCTGACACATCCCTGGCATTTTGAGAGGGACTGAAGCAACATGACGGAATACCATGCAGTTATGTTGTGGGCAACCAAGCTCACGTGCATGACCAAGAAGGGGCTCAGTAAGAAACTAGTTTGTGACACCAGCTGGAAGGGAGAATAGATGGCCATGGCCAAACCCCACCCCACACCAACCACATCTGCTGGCTAAAGCCAGGAACCCTTCCCCCTTCTGCTCCTGACATACATATCTCTTTTACCTCCTCTATGTAGAGCAGAACACTTACCAGGGCATGCAGCTTCTCTTCCAGGTCTTGATTGGTTCTCTGGGAAGCAGTGTAGCTATTCTGTAACCTACAGAATCAAGATCGTACACGTAGGAATGGTTCTCAGGCTTTGCTCAAGTCTTCTTCTTAACTACCAAGCAAACCAATAATTCCACAACCCCAGTACTCCTTAGTATTCACAGTACTAAGACAATATAAAGATCTTCAGACTCCCAGTTACAGGCAAGGTGAGGTTGGCTAAGTGACCTTTCATGTCTTTGTTGGAGAAAATAAGAAGGACTTTGGAGGACTGCTCTGAGCTAAGCTATGTGTAACCATGTAATCAGTGCCTAGCATTAATTTCTAACCAAAGCACTACAATCCCAGGTAGTCAGTGGCTCCTTTTTGCTGATGTCAGACAGACATCCAAGACAGATCCCACCTTACAACCAATAAATAGAATTCCCTTTTGCTGTCTATCCCTTGAGCTGGCAGTATTCTTACACTGTACCTTGGAGAAAGCAATGACTGCAAAGCTTTTACTCTCCCCTACATCTGGAAGAGCACTGAGGATGCAGCGTACCTCTCTGTTCAATACAACAGGGCACAGCCTACTCAAGCCAGCTGAGGGAGTCCTTGGAGGCAATGATCTCTCTAGCTCTATCCTTCTTTCATTTTTCTATTCCGTACCTACGGAATTTGTCCTTGAATTTCTCCAGCTCCTCCCGGTTCTGACCCAGCTCCATCTCCAGGTAGTCTTGACCTGACTCCAGCTCCCTCTCCATTGCTTCCATTTTGTTAGTCACATACATCAGCCGTCGGCGCAGCTCTTCATTCTCATGTTGCAGCAGCCTGGACACAAAAGAACAAAGGTACCACTGAGAGCACAAGGGGCACTCCACACCAGCACCCATATCCTGCTGCCCTGCTCTAGGGGCCAACCCAACATGTGGGCCCCAAAAAGTTGGGAACTGAACTATCAGGAGATTCCAGCCCATGAAGAGAGGTGCACTATTGTTACGAGATGCATGCTTTGTAACATACTAGCTGGCCAGCCATGTTATCAGCTCCCAGCTCCCTCTCAGGTTACAGTGCTTGGATCAAGTTCACTGGCCAGCTCCAGTGTCCCCCATTGGTGAATAAAACCCACTCAATAATTTATCCCAGCATAGGATAAAGAACTTGAACTGATCCTCCCCTGAACTGTTCAGAAGCCCTCACACCTTTAGCATATGGTGCTCTAAACAGCCTTGAGGTCAGAAACAGAGGTAGTGGGGTGGGTATAGAGATGTGATCACAGCTGTCAGTCAATCCCATTCTAATACAAACTGCTCTGTTAGTCCCCAGCCAGGACATGCCTGGTGGTCAGAAGGATTTCCTGTTGTTTTTCATTCCTTTGTGCTCAGAAAAATACTGAAGCACAGCACAGCTCCTCTCTAGCAATGCATACTTGTTCCACACTGTGGCTTTAAGCACAGTGCCAGCAGCTGTTTGCGTCCCACAGCACCATCAGCAAAGGGCCCAGTTCTCACCCTCACTCAGCAGCAGGCCCCTGCATGCTGTTTCTGATGGCTTACATTAAAATAGATGCTACAACATGAAGGCACTTCTCTCTCTACTCGTGTTAAACGTTTCAACTCCTCTGCCTGCACCTGAAGATCTGTGTCCCCATGCCTCCAGAGTGAGGCATACAATGCAGAGGTTGGCAAGGCACAGTCTAAAGCTCTGCCCTCAAGAGAGCTAAATGAAGATCTGTGTGGAGCCTTCAGGGCCAGTCAGCTTTGCTGCGCAAGTGACACAGGCAAGATGCGAGGAATCAGCACTCATACAGTTGCAGTACAACAGGCATAAAGAGGGAACAGGACACTTACTTCATCCTTTCTGCATCCGTCAAGGGTTCCTGTACAGGGAAGAAAACAGCTGTGAGATTCTTTCAGAAGAGGAGTTGCTTTCACAAAGTATCTTAAAGGACAAAGTTTCAGTTGCTAGACCCTATATGGGACTCTTCCACACCTGCTCTGAGGGATTATGATAAGTAAACTTAGAGAAGCCGGGCTCTGCACACATCACTCTGCTAGCTGATATCAAAACACTGTGTGTTTTGGTTCAGGGCAGAACAGCTGGACTTGAAACCACCACACAAATTAGGTAACTTTACTCTCCCACCTGCAATCTCAGCATCTTTTGCAACATCATCATCTCTGTTGGTGTTTCAGCTTCCTACAAATCCACAGTTAGTTTAGTGCAACAGGAATCAAACAGGCCAGTATACATTGAAAATTAACTTGTCACCACAGCAATCAGAACATCCTCAAGGCCTCACAAAAGAACTACAGAGCATCATTTGGGAGATGAAAAAAACATGTCTACCAGTTACACCAGCTAGATTATACTGTGAAAAGGATTTCTTTCTGCAGACCTGAAAACAGCCACTGTAACTATTCTAGGGTAGCACAAGAAACACTAGAAGCAAAAAAACCTGTGAAAGAAACATTCTGGGCAACATCCCCACAGATGTTTGGAGTAGGGATCTGCAGAACAAGGAGAGACAGTGCTGCAGCATGAAATGGCTGTTGACTGCCAGCACAGCTGGGTGAGATTTAATTAGAACTAGCAACAACCATACTTTTTGTGAAAGCCCAAGGCTGTGACCATTCTCACAATGTCCAAGCTGCCCATGGCCTATTTTTGGTGCCTGGTGTAGCGCCAGCACTACAGAAGCCTTAAGTGCTGAAACACTTTAAACTGGCTATTAAGTGTCACAGTCAACTCTGAGCTTAGAGGCCATGCCACACGCAGTTGTGAATGAGGTTGCTAAGCTTCTAGCAATATTACATAAAACAAACCTACCCTAAGACATCAGGAGGCTGCTTCCTTCATCAGTTCACATTTTGAAAAGATAGTCCTTAGAGCCTGCATACAATCTCTTGTCCTTAAAGGCAATCCCATCAACCCAACTCCTCCTTGCATTCTGACCCCAACTGACAATTGATTAATTCATGCAGAATCATCTAGCAACTGCTTCCCCAACCTCTACAAACACACAAAGCCCACAGTAGTGACCAGCAAAGGAGATAAGGCAATTCCTGGTAAGCTGAGGCAATGGTCCCAAAGCAGGCCCAAAGGAGAAGAAGGGAGGATACAGTTTACAAAGGCTTCAATCAGACATCACAGAGCCAGACTACCCCAGGATAGTTGGGTACTGGGCAGATAAAGAGTCTCAAGAGCCTCCCACCACCTGCAGACACCAGAGCTTCCCAACTTGCTCCCTGCAGACTGGGGACACCTCTGACCTGCAAACACCTAAAAGGCCTGCAGAAGGGAAAGAACACCAACTCCCACCCCCCCTACCTCCTGAGTCAAAGGGAAGCTGGCTCCTCCCAGAAAGATATACCCTACTTGGAGCACAGACACGAGCAGCAACACAAGACAGCAACACTTGTGGTAACTCAGTACCCACAGCATGAGGTCTGGGGGTATCTCCCCCCAGTCCTGGAATTACAGGTGAGACAAGATTCAGATAGGAGTTTTAGCTTTTGTGAGACCCCTGTCTGCAAAAGCCAGCAGTCCTGGCACCTACCTTGTTTAGTGCCAGGCTGAAGGAAGGGGAGGATCTAGATGGGGCAGGTCCCTTCTCCCAACTCCTGTGTGTTGGAGGGGAGAAGGATCCTTTCTCTGGGTAGTTCCGCTCCACTGTACGCTTCCGCTCGAGTTTAACGCATAGATGGTTTGGCTGTAACAGCTGCGAACAGGGACTGTTTTCATCCCTCTTGCCCTCTGCACTGCTTTTCCATGATGACAGTGAGTGCTGCTGCCCAGAGGATGTCCCTGCCAGCCCCAAGTCTGCCAGCTGCTGCAGCTCATACTGACACAGATCTACTACCTTTCTGTCCAAGGAAAGAACTTTCTCCTTACTGTCCTTTCTCCCAAGGATGGGTTTCTTTCTTAGTTTGGAAACTCTCTCAGTCTCCTCTGCACATTTTCTCTGGCACGAAGCCATTCCCATTCCCTCACATTTCTTTTCTGATTTTCTTCTGCTTGGGCAGGAGGATCTTTCAGATGCACGCTTGGTTTTGACCTCTTCCAGGTGACCTTCCCCTTGGCCTTCTGGCACAGAGCCTCTGGCACAACAAGCAGAATTCTGGTCATGCTCTGCTCCCCTGGTCTCTTCTAGTGGGCGCAAGCGAATGGGACTCAGCACCCGTTGACTAATCTCATCCAGGAATTTGGAGAACTGCAGTTTTTCTTCTCTGAGTTTCTCTTTGCGTTTGGCAATGTCAGCAGCACTACTGCTGCTGCGCTCCAGAGAGCGTTTCTCCTTACGGACAAGGCAGAGCTGAGGATCACTGTACTTGCATGAACCACGGCCATGGGAAAGTGTCTCAACTGAGCGGGACTTGCGTAAGGTCTCAGGGCATGGGCCTGTTTGCATGCCAGGCTGCTTCAAGATCCCTTTTAGAGGCTGGTGTGAAGAAGAGACTCGAAACTTCCTCGGTGTCAAGACTTCAGGAGGCTCCTTAAACATAAGTGAGCGTTCCAGGCTTCTGCTCTTGAAAGAACAACTGGAACGGTGTCCCTCATTTCCAGGCACCACAACTGTCTCCATGCTACGGCTCACAAATTTGCTGAGGTGCCCACGACTGCGGTTTGGGCACCGCTTCCCACTTCGCTGTCCCATCTTCCTACCATCTGGCGATGCTGGCAAGGTCTGGCTCTTCACGTTCAATTCTGCTCTGCACCCTGTCACTTCCTTCTCACTGCTGGACTCCAGGGACCACGATGAGGAGAAGTTCAGGTTGCAAACCTCAAACCCCTTTGCCTGCTCAAGCTGGCCTGCCTCAGTGCAACTAAACCCCGTTTGCTGGTGCAATGGTGATAAGCCCTTTGCCACCCGGCAAGCCGTTACCTGACTCTGCTCAGCCAAGATCACTCCATCCTGGTCGTCACGAATGATGGGAACCTCATGACGGATCTCACGATGCTGCGGGGGTGCCTTGCGGTAAGGCTTCTTTGTTGGAGCCGTGCTCGACATCCTCCCACCTGCGTGGCTCCAACAGCGGGTTACCTACCAACAGCAGAAAGTTCACAGAAGAGAGAGGCACAGACACTCCATCGAACCCTAGAAGCAAACCAGCAGGAAGTAGTCTCCCTTGGAGTCCTAGAGCAGGTCCCCATGCAGAGTACTGATAGAGCAGGAAAAGGATGCAACCACAAGCCTTGAGCAGCAGCTGCAGGAGAGGGAGCAAAGTCAGAGATAGACGTGTCCTTCTCCCAGCCAGTGAGAGCAGAGGGCTGGCACATCCTCTCCCCCCTTCTACACACACTCACTCACGTAGTTTGTGTGTATCCAGATTATATATAGCAAACGAGAATAGGCCTCACAGCAGCATATTGATTAGGCTCTTTAGGAAAGGCCTTTTCCAATATGGAAACAGCAAGCCTTACAGGCAGCAGTGACAGTAGAAGTTATTGATTATGTGCTGTCACTGTCAGCAGGAACTATGTGGGAGGAGACTGTAGTCATTAAAGAGCCCAAATTCAGAAGTTTTCTGCTTACACAGAAACATAAGTGGGGCAGACTGTAGGAGGAAGAAGAAGGTACCATACTTTTAGAACTGCTCACTCTGTCAGAAAAGACAGAGACCAAGTTGCAGGTGGCATCAAATTAGGAAGCAATGCCATTAATGTTGATATCTAAGGTCAGAAGTTGCAAAATGCAGCAGTACTGCTATGAGAAAGACCAGTTTTTGTCCCTTTACCTCAGCTGTGCTGGGCAGGAAGATTCTGCCTGCTGTAGGAGCAGAAGCAGCACAAGAGCAAGATGCAGGACAGAAGGAAAGCAGCTATCTTCTTCCTTTCCACCACTTTGTAACTACAGTGGAGAGCAGGAAGATTTTCCCCTCAACCAGCCAGAATTTCAGCCATCCCACTGCACACAAGACAGTAAGTGCCAGAGATGCCAAGACATCTCTTTATGACCTGATGGCAGATCTCCCCTGATGACAATACATGCATCATTCACAATCTCCACACATTTGAAGCAAGCACCCTCTTCCCATTCTCCTTTCCCTTGCTGAATCCTATCACTGACAAAGCTTAACAACTCAGATCATCTGATGGGAGGGCTATTTAATGCCTGCTTACACTGGCCCTCCCACCTGGCTAAGGGATATTGCCAGGCCAATGACCTAGCAGAATTCATTTGCTTTATGTTTTGGCCAGGGGAGTTTTACATAATATGCAGTGTCCAAATGGAGCCCTGAGAGTTATCTTCAGTCCTTATCCTCTCTTGCTTAGCTGCATCCTCCTGTCACTTATACTGAACCCACTAGGAGGGCTGGCAAGTGTGGAATGTCTGTACTACACAGAGTGGCTCCAAGCCACATCAGGCTTTACATTTCACAGGATAATTTATAAGCTGTCCTCCATTGTTCTGAAAAGAACACAAGTACTCATGTGTTTTCCACATACATGAGCCACTTTCAAGGATTAGCTTGTGAACCTCCACAACCAAAATCCTGAAAATTCACCTTTGCTGGAGTCATTTTCTCAAGATCTCTTCCTCTAAAAACAACAAGGTGAAGATATTTCAAATATTTTAGAAGAATCACATCCAGTATACCAAACGCACATTCCACTACATCTCCAAAAGAAACTGCTGGGTTTCTTTTGGGATGTAGTAGGAAGCTGGGTCTGTCTTGCTGGGAAGACATTCTCCACTTCAAAGTGAAATGCTGATCTCCTGTTAGAAGCATATTAGCCAACACCATACCTTTATGCAGGTAACCTACAGTTAATTCTTCTGTCAACTCCTGACAGGCTAACGACAGCAGATACTTATGTAGATATCCCAAAATGAAATTACTATAATTTCTCCAGCCCTTAAAGACCTGAGGACTTACCAGCCTGGGCTCAAATTCAAAGGCTCATGAAGCAGTGACACTCACTCAGATGTCCTGAAGAAGAGAAACAAATGACTTAGTATGTATCAAAAAGTCAGTTTGAAACCTCACCCTGTAAATGTGTAAAGAAGAGGGAATGTTTATAATGAAGCACAACAGGATATTTACCACACTACAAGTGCCTGTTTCAACCCACAACAGTAAGTTGTAAAGGACATTAGCTTAGGACAGTTGAGCCACACAGCCCAGCAAGAGCTAGTAAGGCAGTTGGCAAGGACACATCCCAAGACTCACTCAGGCAACCCAAACCACGCAAAATCATGAAGCAACAAGTTCTAAAAACCTTGGTTCCAGGAAGGACTAAACAAATCTGTGAAATGGGACTCTTACTGCTCATTTTCTCTGATACTACAGATTGTGAAGCCTAAATGCTAAAAGGACAAATGAGGTAATTGTTAAGTCAGTTTTTCTTGCTAAAGGTGCACTTACAAATGAGCTGGTAATTATCAGACTCTCCTTCGAGTCAAAACATTACATTCCTGTGCCTACCACCGTGATAGCTCACACCTCTACAAGAGAGAAGACAAGCTACTCTCTGGCTTCTTGCAAGCAGCATGTCATGCTCTAGCTTGGCGCAAATAGGCTTCTGTGAAATACTGCCCATCCAATCCAGGATTTAACACAAGTTCAGAAAGGATCTTCTGTATTCAAAGCTCAGGGCATCCATCACTACCTGAAGAGAAATGGGTGGATCCAGGAGACAGCTCTAAGAGCTTAGCTCAATGGCTATCACACTGTCACTGGCATGAGAAAGACTGCAGATGAGTCTTCCCTTTCCTGATGCACCTCTATTGCTGCACTGCGTTTTCCTCTATCCATGGCACCAAGCCCTGGGAGGAGTAACAGAAGTGAAGGGTGTGGAGTAGTTGTATGCATATGGGGAGAGCCAGATGGAAGGTGAATGGAACAGGCAGGCAACCAGAATCATACAAACAAGCTCTGCCAAAACAAACTGAAAGGTGCCCTGGTGCTGGCCCTGACCCAACAAACTGTCTAGCCCCCTTCCTTACTGCAATGCTATTGTCAGGTCTCGACTAGTAATGTTAAGAACAACTCCACAACAGCGTAACTGTTCTGTAGGAGCAAGCTGCAAAGTATAGTGTGAGAGAGAAAGAGAGAGAGAAAAAAATAGTGTAAATCCAGGAAGGACCAATTATTACAGTTTGAAACTGCTTTTCTACCAGCTCCCAGAAACAGTCAGACTGGCAAACAAGCAGAGGCCTCCAGGAACAGCTGTCCCCATGGATCCCTGCATGTTTCTACCACGGTGGTGCTCAGAACAAACACGCTAAAGGCCTCACTGTTTCTCATCACACAGTTCCTCAGGCTCAGGCAGGACTGTCCCACTTCCTACTCAATACTCAGCAACTAAACTACCTGCCATCTCATCTTCACCTACCTGGAAGAGATACCAGGACTGGAAACCTACCCTCACAATCTCAGAATTTCCACTCAAATACCCACACTGCCTCCAGGCAACTTTCCCTCAAACAAGGACTTACAGATCCAAAATGACGACGTGTCCAAACATTTCTGACTGCTTGTCTCCGAATCAGCTTTCCCCTGTCAGCATCCAGCAGCATCTGGCCAACGGCTCCTGAAACACGAGAAAGGAAACTGTCAGTCACCTATTGACACAATACATGGAAACAGCCAGGCACGCGCAGAGCAACCCACAGCCAGGTGCCAGGGCAGGAGTCAGAAGCAAACTGCTGCACCATCAGGCTGCTATCTAATTACAGGAGCCTTAGTGCAAAAGAAGCTCCTTGTCTTCACTGCATCCCAGAAAGAGAAATTCTTTTAATCATCACACCATTGAGCAGGATGCTTGTGCAGAATAGGAACCAGCCTGCAAGAGGTGGCCTGACTAATATCAGGAATCCATTTTCTGTCATTTTGCCTTAACCAGCCCGCCACACCAGCCTAACTTTGTTCTGCAGACTTCGCTGTAATTAACTACACAGTTAGGCCCCCTCTGCCTACAATATCCAAGCGTTCTTTGCATCTGAGGTGGCTCATCCACCACTCCATTTGGAGAGCAACAGATGCACTCTGCAGATCGATGGACCTTGTGATTCTAAGTAGAAATGGACATAGGCAACATCTAGTAACAGAAGAAAGTGCTAATTCTGCTCTACACTCAAAGTATTCACAAGCCTCTCCAAAGAAGCTTGCTTACAAGTCCACATTCTGTTGTACCCAGGAAGAACTTAGCTTTAGCGTGAAGCTACAACAGCAGGCAGCTCTTCAGCCCAAACGTTGCTATTCTAATTAGCACTGTAATACAAGAGGAAACTTAACCCCTTAGTCCCTTTTATCTGCCTTATCCATCTTTCCCAATAACACCCCATAGCATTTACAGTTCTCTTTCTAGCGGGCTATCATCTGCAGAAGCTCCAATTCTATTGTCTTCTGGGTCCTACCCACAGTAACTCCTGACTCATTTCTGAGCTCAATGACAGATATAGCTTCACTGGAACAGTTCACAGAGGCTACCAGACTTGGGCTCACACCCATCAGCAACAGTCATGTCTTCAAGGAAAACAGACATGAACAGATACAGGGTCAGAAGACTGCAGGGGAAACCTAACAATTTACTTTGCTGCTCCCAAAAGCTGATGATTCCTCCATCCCCTCACAAAGACAAAAAAACAAACCACCTCTTCACGGAGACAGGATGCAGTGACAGTGACTGACTGCAACTGCACACACATGCTTGGCTCTTGTTTCTATCAGACAGCACTCCGCCATGTAAAATCCATTCACAGAGTAGCCACGTCCTCCGCACTGTTTAATAAAGATGGAATTTACCACACATCAGGAGCACTGAATGGTTTAGACTATTCTGTCCAGAATCCATAGAACTAATAGCTACTTGGCATTCTTGCAAAACCACACCACTACCCACTTGCATCACCTTCTCTCCCATAACAAAAAGAGGACATCTAAGATGTGTTCTTCATCACTACCTTCTCTCACATTGCTTTTTCTGATCCTATACAGCTGCCTGTTCACCATTGTTCAGGAACAGTAGTTTTCCATCCTTAATAGAAATATGGTGATACTGCTGCAGAGAATGTTCCTTATTTCAACATCATCTTCTTTTCAAAAGCAGCATTTCTTTGATCTTGCTCTTTAATCAGAAAGATAAGCTTGCATGACAGAGAAAATACCTTCCGTAACACAGTCACAGCCACATTTGTTTCTAAAGCAACACTACAGGAACATCCATTGGCTATCACCAAATCAGTACTCCAAAAAACTCCAATCGCATACTCATGTGTAAAAGTATTTGCTGCTACTGCCCTATCTAATCACACAGCTAACCCAGAATTTTCACTCAGTTTAACCAGCCTACAGCTTAAATACCAGATTCTGGAGATTGGCAAGAATTAGGAGGCAACAATTTCTCCTTGATAGCCTCATGGGAAGCAACAGCAAAAGATCTGTCACTTGTCTTCCTGTGCTTATGGACAGAGCCAACCTCAGCCCCCATGAGTCTCAAGCCAGATTACACGAGGAGCTGCTGCAGTGAGCCTGATCCAGACTACTAATCAGAGAGATGGGGGATGTAGAAACTGCACTGAGAGATCTTGTCGAGGACAGAAGAACAAGCTGTCTGAAGTTAAGAAGTAGCCCCTATAGACTGCTCATGCCAAGCACAATGGAAAAGGACTGCAAGGTTATTAAAGGATATTTTAACATTTAATGAGGTCCTTTCATGCAGAGAAGGAATTTCAATTAAAAATACGTTCAGATCCATTCCACTGCTGGTTACTTTGAGACTCCCAGGCTTTTAGTTTAAAATAAAAAAGATGACAGTTCCCAGCACAGAGATTTGCATCTCAGTTCTACTTGCATGTTAATGCTCACAATTCACATCTGAGTAACAGCATTAGAGTGTCTCTTGGATTAGAATTGAATTTCAGAAGGATTATTGCTCATTTCTGCTTTTTCCTATCAATTAACCTTAACTATTAAGCAGAAATCTCTGTTCCTTGCATGGGACCAAGTTCAAGAGATACCAAGAGAAAGGGATCAGGGTTGCTGTTAAAGAATAGGCCTGGCTAACACCTAGCATATTTCCAAAGGAAATGAAATCCATGGACTCTACAGTCTTGCTTAGTTCTTGCTGAATATAAATACCACCGAACAGGATATATCATGTGTCTGTCACGTACATGCACCCTGTGAAAGTCCCTCACAAGTTATCAGAATCACACTTCTCTTATGGTCCCTCTCCTTCCATGCACAATATAAAGATCCCCACCTCCCCAACTCAGCTGGGCTCCGTATCCTTAAGTATGGATTATTATCTAGTCACCATGCTAAGAACAGCTTAGCTTCCCTAACCCTTTTATAAAAGCCAGAACGGATCAGAAACACTAACATCTCTCACATGTAACTGGAATAGAACACAACAGCTGATTAACATCTGAACAGGAACAGGACAGGAAGTAAAAGACCCGAATACAATCCCCAGAAGGAATGTTAATGGAGAATAAAAATACCCAGGGGAGATTCTGACCAGGAAATGAATGCTAGCTTTCTAATCCATATAAGAACATAGAACCACCTTTAATGGCTACATATGAAATTGCACAAGAACTAGCTTGACAAAAGGTCACCTGCCAAGTTACCTTTAGCACTGACAGCTACAGAAGAGGCTACCAACAGCTTCTCATCCGAAAACACTGACAGACCAGAAGCCCGTTTAGTTTGCTCAGTGATTTCTTTAGTTTGATCACTTTAGTTTGCTTAGTGATCCTTTTGGTCCTCACAAGGTGGTTTAGGTTGCAAAATTCCAGAGCCTTGCTGTCTTTGCACCCTTAGATTTTGTGTCTAACTCCATCATCGCATCTGTGTTCTTTTAAGATCTTCCATGGGAAGACTTCTGGAGCAGTATCTATTTCTTAGATATCTAAAGAGATGTAAACTAGGCCATTAGGAAACTACTAACTCAGCTTAGGAAAACTCTCAAAGCTCCTGAAAATAACCGTGTGGGTCCAGCTAGTAAAAGCAACTCTTTATGTCCTAACACTTATCTGGCAGAGCCTGGGATATCATGAAGGAAATTGAGGAGTCACAGCCTTACATTTTCCCTCTCAAACACAAGCTAGAGAATGGCTAAGGTGAGCAAACATCTGATGAGAGGGAGAGGGTGAACATGTCTCTAGAAAATAAATGTGTAGGAAAACCCCTTCCCAGACCCCCTGCCAGCTCCTGCACTGTGTAGGAGAGGAAGAAAATGAGAAAGCGTTACCTTCCAACAGTACATAATGAGAGAATATTAGATTTGATTGGGATGAACTAGGAAAAACTTAAGTTTTTCAGCCACTGAAAAGTAGCCTTTCAGCACCTGTAAGTATTCCCTAAATCCCATCCCAGCAATTAGTAACAACAGTCCTCATTTCAGCTCATCATTTTTTTAAGTTATGGGAAAGCTATAGCCTCCAACTTCTCAACTGCAAGTCACTGAGCTGTCCCTCTAGCAGAAAACATAACAATGGTAGAGAACGCACCATTACTGCAACCTACATGCTTGCCTAAATTTGCTCTCCAGAACATATCTTCCATCAATGAGCTGCAGTAATGCACAGATGGCTAACACACTGTGCAGTATCTACAAAGACTGACAATGGAGCACAGCACATTATTTGCATAATTAACAGAGGACAGACGGGCAAGGTTGTTGCAGTGACCCAACCTAGAAAGCACCTGCAAGGTTGCAGAGACTTTAAGCTCAGCCCTGATGCTTTCAGGTGGCAGCAAAAGCAAATTTCAGAAAATGAAAAAGCTGTTTAGAGCAGCCAACTTTATTCTGAAATATTACCTGTACAATTGGGTTTGTAGAGCATTTGTTTAGTTGTCATTGAACCTTCAGCCACCAGGAGAAAACACAAAGTGTATCAACTAGGTTCATGCTTTCCAATATGAAAGTTAACTGGCATCTGCAGTGCTTAGAGAATGCACTTTTTCCTTCACCATGAGTTTTGTAGGAGCTAAAGTTGCCACTCACACTGGGGCACGTGCATACTGGGGTGAGACAGTGTCAGGGAAGCAGCATCAAATTTATTAGCAGGCCAAGGAACAACCTCAAGACAGTGTTCCAGAGGTCTCACACGTGTAACTAGCCAAGAAAGTCCCAGTCTATAAGGAGGAACAATCTACAATCGCATACTGTGGCTAAGAATGACCACGCTGTACAATGGTTTGCAAAGATCAGTGCACCCATCCTCCACCACCGTGCACCACAACAGGCCCTTTCATTCCATAATCACATGGCTGCAGCCAAACATGACATACTGTTCAGCAAGTAATAAAACGGATCAGCTTTTTCCCCAAGGTCTTGTCTATGTATACACTACACTAAATTAAATTGAATTAGAAAATAATGTAAAATGGTATAACCCTCCTGGGTAAATGTTTTTAATTCAGTTTGAGAGCACTCTGTGTTGAATCAACTTAAGTTAAATAGATAGATACAAGACAAACTAAATTAAGGATGCCTATACAAGAATGCTGCGCTAATATAATCACAACTGTTTCTAATCTGATTAAGTTAAGTCAGCACAACTTCCCTGCACAGACATAATC